CGCAACCCTTTGAGGACATCATTCCCCATGGCGTGAGAAGGGACCCTCAGTTGATGAGGGAAATGGCAGCCGCCATGCAGCGCATGGAGGACGAGCAAGAGCAGAATGGAGCCACCTTCTCTGATGAATTGAAACATGAACCGAAACCGCCACCGCATCAGCACACTCACAGGCACACAGGGGAGCCCAATGGAGAGCTCGCACCCCCCGACATAGACAACGGACATCGGTCATGCCCAAGAACGAGGCTCGTTACAGGGAACCTACTCCCTTGATATATCCCGTTGGGCAGCATTTCCAATATGTTGAAAGGGATGGAGAAAGATTCATCTGCCAAAGGAGAGGAGCGGCACCTCCTACTGAGGAGACCCCGGAGTTCGTAGATTTGAGGACTCCACCTCCCCGAACGGCCCAAGATGAGGAAATGGCCGAAATGAGGAGACAAATGGCCGAGCTCAGGGAGCAGGTGAGTCGGACTCCCCAACAAACCCCACCAGCTAGGATTGGGATTACTTCTCCCTTCACTAGGGAGATCATGAATGCATAAACTCTAAGGGACTGTCGACCCCCGAACGGCCTGACGTACGATGGAGCGAGAGATCCCCATGTGCACTTGAGGAGTTGTCAAGGAGGCCTCATGCTGTTGGGCGCCACTGATGCGGTAATTTGTCGGTTATTCTTCAGCACTCTTCGAGGGCCAGCACAGGAGTGGTTCGGCACCTTGCAGCCAGGGTCGATCGGGGGTTTTGCTGAGCTGTCCACATTATTTTTGGCACAGTTCGCCTCCAGCACTAACCCCAAATTACACTTTGGTTACCTGACCAGTGTGAGGCAGGGACCGAAGGAATCCATCAATGACTTCCTGACCAGATGGAGAAGCGAGACCCTGAAGGTGACAGGCATGACGGATGAGACAGCGGTCCTCCTATTAACTGATGCCCTTCAGACCGGGGAACTGTATAGGGATCTAAAGAAGAACCCTGGTACGGGCTATGCTGATGTACTAGAGAGGTCCAGGAAGCATGTGGCCCTGGAAGAGGAAATCAGGGTGCGGGACCGAACGGCCCAGCAACCTGCCCCTACAAGGTTGGCTGACCGTCTGGGCCCCATGCCAGCAACTGCGCCACCCCGCCCCAGGACTAAGCATTTTACTCTGTTTGTCATGACAATTGCCAACGTATTCCAAAAGAAGAGGGGCACTATTCCCTCCCCCCCCCCCCCCCCCCGACCGATACCAAAGATTTCATGGGGACAGACCTGAATGCCTTTTGCAAGTATCATAAGCGGAACGGGCACCTCACTGAGAACTGCCAAGCTCTGCAGGTTGCGATCGAGGAGTTGATTCAGCAGGGTTACTTGAGGAAATATGTCAATACTAACCCGAACAACCTTTCCCCGAACCAGCGCCAGTACAGGAAGCCCAATAGTTGGCGAAGGGATAACCGGCGAGACATCCTGAACCCTGAAATGATGCTTACATCCCGCCCAGGGAAGAGGCTGAAGGGTCGGGGAACCCAGAGAAGAAGCCAAAGATAGAAGTGAAGGTTATCTTTGGTGAGGGAGAGACGGGGGACTCGGCTGCCGAACGGAAAAAGTTTGAGCGGGGATTGTACGTAGCCTCCGTGTCCACCCCGCCCCAGAAAAAAGAAGGATGGAGCCGATCACGTTCGGGGTGGCAGATTTGCCAAATTCACCAAGTCTGCACAGGGACGAGTTGGTGATCAGTATGTGCATTGATAACGCCCTGATCCGCCGGGTTCTGGTGGATACAGGGAGCAGCGTGAACGTGTTGTACTTACACACGTTCGAGAAGATGGGACTCCAAAGAAGTCAGCTGAAAAATTTTAAAAAACACCACTTGCCAGCTTCATCAGGAATTGTATTGAGGCTGAGGGAACCATTCAGCTCCTGGTCGAGATTGGAGATGAAACCCACCTTACAGCTGTCCGAATGACGTTTGTGGTGGTGGACATCAATTGTGCCCACAACGCCATATTGGGCCGATCAGGGCTGGAAGATTTGGAAACAATAGCTTTAGTTCGGCACTCTTGCATCAAGTTCCCCACTGATACTGGTGTAGGGGTAGCCCGGACAGATCCGGCAACAGCCCGAACATGCTATCGGGAAGCCCTGAAGAAGATAAACACCCGAGGAATGCGGGTGAAAAGCATTGAGGTACCAACTTGCCGAACAGAGTTCGAAGCCCGCCCTGCACCTGTCACCCTGCTGGAGTATATTGAGATTGACTCACCCCCCCCCCCCCCCCCCGACCGGAAGGTGGCGATCGGGGCAGATCTTGAGAAGGAGATACGGGAAGGAGTAATTGCAGCCTTGAGGAAATTTAAGATCTTGTTCGCACGAGGACCAGAAGATATGTCAGGGATTGACCCTGAGCTCATCTGTCATAAGTTGGTCGTTCGACCTGATGCAAAGCCGGTGCAACAGAAGAAACGATATCAGGCTGCTGAGCGGCGAGAGTTCACAAAACAGGAGGTGGCTACCTTGCTTAAAATCAGGCACATTCGGCCAGTTATTCACGTTGAATGGCTGGCTAATGTGGTCCTTGCCCCGAAGGGGTCGACTTGGAGAATGTGTGTAGATTACACCGATCTGAATAAAGCTTGCCCTATGGACCCCTACCCTGTGCCAAGAATTGATCTGCCGGTAGATGAAACAGCTGGATGTGAGCTGCTGAGTTTCATAGATGCCTTTAGAGGTTATCACCAAGTCTTTATGCACCCAGATGATGCGGAGAAAACTGCATTTGTCACCTCAGACGGCATTTTCTGTTACATTGTCATGCCATTCAGATTGAAGAATGTCATGGCCACGTTCTAGAGGATGATCGGGATGCTATTCAAAGAAGTTATGGGAGTCACCATGGAGCTATGACTGGAGAATGGTGACCTGGAGATGCATGACTGGAGAAAATCCTAAAGACCATATGAAGTGGTATATGGTCAGCCTCCTGACATACATTACCCTTATGTGGCCGGAGATAGTAGAGTTGAGGAAGTGGATAGAAGTTTTAAGGCCAAAGAAGAGTGTATTAAATTGCTAAAATTTCACTTGAAAAGAGCCCAAGATAGGATGAAAATCCAAGCTGACAAACATAGAACTGATAAAGAGTTCTTGGAAGGAGACTGGGTCTATGTTAAATTGCAACCCTATAGACAACACTCGGTTGTTTATAGAAGGCATCAGAAATTGGCTCCTAAATTTTTTGGACCCTTTGTAATTGAAAAGAGAGTTGGCAAAGTGGCATATAAACTGAAGTTGCCTGAACATTCCAAGATACACCCTGTGTTTCATATTTCTCAGCTCAAGAAACATCATGGAGAAGTTCCTGTTGCAAGCTACTTACCTATGGTAGATGAACAAGAACTACTGAAGGTACAACCTTTAGCTATATTACATAGAAAAATAGCAAAGAAAGGAAATGCGGCAACAGTCTATTGGTGAATGGAGGGAAGGAGGATATTACCTGGGAACCTTATGAAGACATTGTTCAGAGATATCCAGACTTTATAGCTACCTTGCAGTAAGCTTGAGGTCAAGCTTATCTTAAGGGGGAAGGATTGTTACGTGGAATAAGTTCCTAGTGAGTCAGCATAACACATAAGGCAGAGAGAAGGACGTGGCAGCTTGTTAGTTTGTTAGCTGGTTACAGCTGATTCTTGTTAGTTTGTTAGCTTGTTAGTTGTAATAGCTAACCTTGTATATACTACTGATCGGTAGAGAAAGAGGGGGCTTGTAATATGAACTCCATGAATAAACTCTCTCTGTTCTTCTCCAAATTTCTCATTTCCTACAGTTCGAATTCCTTTTCTAAGCTGTAAATTCCTACGTAGATATATTATACTTCTCGATCATCCATGAAGTATAACAAGCGGCTTGAAGAGAGACTCTTCATTATTTTGATCGGCACCGATGATCTAGACAGGAATGCGGGGGTAGCACCTCTACGCAACACAGTGGTAGTGTCACCGGTTGTAGCAATTCGACGGAAGTGGTGATGTTACCGTCAGTAGTAACTCGGCAATGAGATTTTGTGAAACCGCTAGTAAGCCTTTTGCTTTCTTTTAAACTCCTGTTATGTTATTTAATGGCAGCTGGACTAACGTGCATCATAACGACTTAACGAGCATGTAGCGGGCTTTAAGATTTTTGTTACTTTTAATATTAGCGTCATATGATCTATTAAAACCATAAATCTTCCTTGATCTAAGAACAAAGTATTTTTTTGTCAAAAAAAAAAGAACAAAGTATTGAAAGTAATACTCGGTAGTGTTTTTTATCTATATTTCATCTGTTTTTTATTCTATTAGGAATTGTTTTCGTTTTAGATGTAGTAAACAATAAAGTAAAACTACACAAATTTATTACTCGTACTCCGTACTGCGTACTAAGTTCCAAATTTCGCAATACTTTCAAGGTCTCGTTTCTCATTTAAGATTTTCATATACTACAATATAATTTAAAAAGTAGTATTAGGATTTAGGATGCAAGTTAAATGTTTTTAAAATCAAATTTTTATCAACAACGGAGTACTACATTCATCTCTGGGCGGCTCAAGTACTCAAGTAACTCAACTAGACAACATTTTTAATTTGATCATCACAAAGTTGCTATATAAATACCTAGTGAGCAGCAGACTCCACGTCTCCACCTTCCAGGAGATTAAATAAATTAAGCACTAAAAAAAGATAAATCATGTATTGGTATAAGCTACGTTTAATTGTGAAAAAACTAACAATCCTATCAAATCTGCGCTAAAGCACAATACATTAAAACAATTAAAAAGTCTTGGCACAAGGAGAGTGGAGAATGTATGGAAAAATATTTTGGAACAGAGCACAGATGATACGAAGGCATATAGGATACTTCTTTGAAGAAGAATTGCATTTATAAGGAAAAAGCGAGTTATCAAATATCAAATACTGGCTCTTAATTACTTATTAAAAGATGTAGAAAATTTGAACTATCAACTGGATGGACTGCGGGAACAGTAAGCATAAGCATTGCGAGAAATATTACGGAGTACCACAACAAATTTTCATTTCAATCATAATCCATGAGCATTACACATTTGCAAATATTTTATAGTTTTATACTAGAGTTAAATAAGGGTTCACAGAAACTTCTACCGAGTCAATAATTAAAAAGGTGGAGTGCGCGTTGATACACAAATGAGTACAAAGAAACACGACAGTCGTTTCCCATAAGCCATTTGCCAGTTGCTAAATGATATAAGAGGGTCACTGGTCCACCTAGTTGAAGTTCAACCTTTCCCTCCTGCATTTTATAAGAATTCACAGAAGCATATGATCTTTTTTCAGACAACAAAATGATACAACCGTAATTTTCATGCGTGTTCCAGGGATGACATGATACAGGGATGAATGTTCACATGCAAGAGATTTAGAACAGAGAAAGAGAAGACTTACTAATGTGCTAAGAGACTGTCAAACTTTACAACGTTATTATATGGGTAGCGCCTGTAATGTTGAGGGGTGCACATGCATTAAGGATGAGGAAAAATAGAACATGACGATTGACGAATGGATAATAGAAAATAGAAACACAAGAATGATCAACATCATTACTGATGAGAGAAAATAAGGAGACGCAGTAGTAGCCGGTGGTACTTACAATGACTTAATGTCGAGTGCAAAAGCAGGTCGGGGAGGAGGCTGTACATATGCTGCTTCCGTAAGCAATTGCAACGCACGCCTTCCAACCTGACAGTCAATCATAATGACGCCTTCCATGAGAACATACATATACTACAGAGCATTAATGGAAGACAGGCATAGAATGGTCAGATAGACACATCTAGAACCCACTGTAGCGAGAAAATCTACTCCAAGTGAATGCCTATAGTCTATGACACTTAGATTATGTATTTATCCCTCAAAGGACGGTCGCTTTAGTACTTATTATTGGTTGCTAACAACATTTGTGTAGTCGACTGTCTAAAAACTGCACCAGTTAGTACGATCCCCCTCCCGGCTTAAGGTTCTCATTGAAAAATGACATTGTTACTTAGACAATAATTAAATAGAGGTTATTCGAGTGTATTTTCACAAGTAGTTTTGATGGGTATTTAATCTAATGAAGGCATTGCTAATAATTGTGACGTTATAGGTGACCTATTTTAATGTTCGAGGATTAAGTTGTCGTTAAAGAGTGCTAATTATTTCATTTCATAAAAAAAAATGGAAACCTTTAACCGGGATGTCCAAAAGAGACAAGTGAGAAGCTGAAGTTGAAGCTCAGATGGATGGAGTTAGGGGGGTATTTGGAACTAATTATACTTCTGCTTCTTTTTAAAAGCAGAAGCAAATCAGTTCTTAGAAGCTGGTCTCCCCCAACTTCTAAAAAAACTGATTCTAGGAATTAGAGCTCCAGAATCACTTCTGCACTTTTACCCCAACACTCCAACTTCTGCTTCCTAAAGGAGCGGAAGCAGTTTTAAGAATCAGATCCAAACACCCACTCATTGTTTTTTGCAAAAAGAGATTTTATTAAGTCTAATTGAAGAATCAGGAAAAAAATTATGAATAAACTGCAAAATCTTTCCCTAGTATATAAGCATTTGTCTGTAATGAAGTGTGATGTCCAACTTAATGATTACAATGAAATGATGGAGACGAACATTAGCACAAACATACTTCGTATATGGTTAATGATAATGCAACAGCAAGGCCCATGATATTATTAAATAAAGGATACCTTCTCATTCATAGGGAAACCCCAGTCTCGTCCCTTGATCATGGCCCTCAAGGGCTGATACTCTCCTCCCTTCCACATTTTAACAGCTTGTTTCTCCAACTTCTTCAGCTCCTCTTCAGCTTCATCACATTTGCCATCCATCCTTTCTCGTTTTTTCCTAAGCTTGGCTTTGGTTTTTTTGAGAAAACTTTGTATCCTTGCCTAATTGATATTTAAAAACAACATAAATATATATAGACACACACACACACACACATATACTATCCTCCGTTCGGATTTATTTGCAACATAGGAGACAGGCATGTTTTTTAAGAAAGTCTCATAACGTTTCAGTGTGCCTATTATGCCCTTATTGCACTGATGATTATTTACTTTTGTTCAAAATGTCTGACAGCGAAACCATGGCCCGTTCTTTAATCTATCTTCACCTTTTCATTATCATCTCCTTCATCTTGATTCCCTGTTTTTTCCATTTCTGTAAATCTGAGGTGAGAGCAGCAACCACCTACCATCATCTATGTTGACGCTACAATACCCGAAAATTAAAGTGTGTGAGCCATCGGCGGTCTAAAGACCTTGAAACCGACCAGTCAATGACGGTGAGAGCTCCGGATATATAATCCGTATGTAATCAAGCCGGCGTTGGTGACCGAAGCTGAGGCACCGAATAATTTTAGAGCACCGGCAGCAATTTCGCCGGTCGGGGTTGTACATATATGGATGCATACGGATAGAATAGAAGAGAGATGTGGTTGGCTGTATTAAAGACAAATGCACACTTTTTTATATCTTAAAATAGAAGTGTTGCAATTATTATGAAACTTCCCAAAAAGGAAAGTGTCACAATTAAAAAGAAACGGAGGAAGTATATATCAGCAAACAATTTTTGTCACGATAAGAAATGAAAAATATTTTTTAAATAAAGCAAATAATAGATCAATCAACTGAAGAATACAATAGTCTTTTAACATTTAAATAGTTAGAAATTCCCTTCCCTATAAAATCCCCGAACCAAAAATCTCTTTCACTATACAGAGGAGATAATGCCTGAGTGTAAGAGTTTAAATAGAAAACTAACACCAGTACTAACCTTAAAAGGTTAAGCTCTACAACATAAACATCGACAACCTTAAAGGTTGAGTTATACAAGGTAAACATTGATGCAAGTGATAATAAAAGTTAATGACATTACTTTTAAGTATATAAGAATAAATTCTACATTCCACCACACCCCAAAAGTTAAGGAAGTTTGGGCGCTGAGAATGGGATGTAACTCCCAAAAAAGAACCTTGCACGACACCCTTTCTGAAAAATTGACGGGAAGAGGAATAATGTAGAACCTTGATCCGGCCAAAGGCGACTTTCATCTCAAAAAAACAACATCTAAGCCTTACCTAAATGGGTTTGGGGTCAGGTAACATGAATCCATATATGAAATCAGTGATAAAAAACAAAAAACATGTTCATCTCAATATGCCAGATAAATAGACAGCACTTGCTGATAGGAACCGATCTTCACCATAAACCAACGTACAACAGAAAACAGAAAGAAAGAGAAGAAAATACAGATTGAGACTCTTAGAGAGGCCTCACTCTCTCAGTTCCCAACCCAAGTCCCAAGTTCTGCATATCTCCTTTCCTTCCTCTCCTTCTTATACTAATTCTATTCTAAAGGGCCAGCCCAAACCCATGACTTACATGGCCGTAATCCTTATTTTTACACTGCCACAATTATTTAAAATCATTCTATTAGTGAAATTATTCTCTTCAGACATGAATCATATCATATCTCCCCTGTTAGACAACCACCTTGTCCTTTATAGGAAACAACCTTGACCTTCGATTTCTGGACCTTTAGCTTCAGTACTTGAGCTTGCATCTTCATGTTCTTCACTGCAATAAAGAGCAGAAACAAAAGTCCTGGTGGCAGAATGCTCCCTTACTGCCCATGGTGAAGATTTGAGCTTACATATTCACTTTCAAGGGTCTCCCTGTGCTTGCTTATAAATTCTTCAAGAAAATCCTTAATCCATCGAGGGAGCACAACATCACCACCTATTGGTTCTCCATCTTGTTTTCGACTCAGTTAACTCATTATAAGATATTCCAGAAAGTGTGTTAAGAATCATCAAGTACTCAGAGTTTGTATTCTCTTTTCTCCTCCAACCTTCTCTAGAGATTTAAGCCACATCCAACGCAACACGTCGATCAACAAAAAGGATAATGCTAGTCTTGTCCCTGAATCCTCTTGGAGACATTGATCCATTTCTGTTTGTAACGATCCAGCTGCCAACATCCCTTGCAACCTTTAGTGTTGCAAAATTCAATAACACTGGAGCAGTAGAGTCATTGACGAATATCTCATTTGTTGTGTATCCAAGCAGAAATCTGGTCCACTTGACATGATCCATCTTCCATGCCGCTTGATATTACTGGGGTTCTTTTTGGGTGTATTTCCCCCTTTCTGTTCAGCCTTACCTAGCTCAAGCACACCCGAAGAGTCAAAGTTCTTAGATACAACTGATCCACCAGTACCTTTCACTAAATATTCACCACAGAGGTACAAGGACTTCTTCATGACACTAAGATACCCCACTAACTCCCCTTTTGGTGCAATTAGAAGTTAGAACACATCAGACCGTCAAGAGAACCTCGCTATTTTCGGTTTCTGCCGATTCAGAGGAGTAATTATTACGGTTCAGAACAATGTTTGTTTGTTCACCAGTCTCTTTGACGACCTCTGAGGACAGTTTATCTGTAATTTTTATTCCATCAACTCCTTCCCATGTGAGAATGATAGAATACTGACAATAATTAAGCAAGAGCAGTAACAATATAGAGAAGATCTGCAGAGAAATAGAGTAATAGTAGTGTTTATTGAAGGAAACGATCAACGTAGTGTACAAGCAACGGGACTGTTAGAGAAGCCCACTCTCCAAGCCACATCCAAGTCTGAAAATAACAGCCTGCCTTATTAGTGCTACCCCAAATCTATTTATAGTAATAAGTCCACACAGGGACCAAATTGAAATAAAGTCATTCACTAATTCACCCCAGCTCCCGTATGCCTCCTTTTATAGTAATAAGTCCACGCAGGGACCAAATTGAAATAAAGTCATTCACTAATTCACCCCAGCTCCCGTATGCCTCCTTTTATATACTTTATTAAAGTCATGACTAGGCCGTTGCACCATATGCCTAACAGAGAACCTCTTCACTAGTAAGAATTTCGTACCTTTTGGAAACGTTAATGCCATTCATCTTCATATTTGCTGCACTATCATCATCTGCAACTCCTTGGCTGATATTTTCAGTATGGAACTTATCTGTGGTACCTCAATTTTCGCTACGGTCACCAGAAACACCAACCGACGGAGGTCTTGACACCGACGTTCTGCCATAGGCCTCCTCGTCAATGAATAGCGGCAATTCTATCTCTCTCCCGGGTGGGCTACGTCCTTGGTTCCTGGATATCTCTCTTTTGATGGCTGTCTTCTGTGAACTGAATATCCTCCTGTTGATATCTTCACACCATAACGTGAACTAATAGCAGATGAGGAGATGAGGATGACACCTGTGGACTGAGAGTAACTGCTCGCGATGAAGCCAGGCAACTGGAAGGAGTAGCTCGTGACCGAAAAGCAACCTGCGCACTTGGCGACGATGCCTGCGAACTAGGCGAAGCCTTTCGTGATTGCGAACTAGGAGAAGATGGTGGCGAGGAAACCTGCGAACTGGTAGAATCTGTTTTCGATGGCGATGCTGCTTTGCTTTATGAATTCCAGCAACGTCTTAATGTCCACGACCGTCCTCGCCGGCAATGTTCTTGCAGCAGCTTGGTGAACATCTTCTCCAACAAGATCCTCATCTCCTTCGTCCAATCACTTTCTACCTTCTCTTTACTCTTCGCGCGCTTCTCCCTGTTCAAGCAGTTCGAGCACTTCTCCACGTTTCTGCACGAGGCATCCTGATCGGATCTTTGATGCTACCTGCGGGGTTCCTTCCCCCCTTGCGTAGACATGCGCTTCTTCATGTTATTGCGCAAATCAGAGGCGGCCATCTTCTGTTCTGGCGGCCATCTTCATGTTATTGCGCTGCTCCATTTTTTTTATGGCGCCAATGTCGGCCGAAGCTTCCCGGGGCCGATGGCTCTGATACCAAATGATAAGAACCGATCTTCACCGTAAACTAACGTACAACAGAAAACAGAAGGAAAGAGAAGAAAATACAGATTGAGACGCTTAGAGAGACCTCACTCTCCCAGCTCCCAGCCCAAGTCCCAAGTTCTGCCTACCTCCTTCTTTCCTTCCGCTCACTCTTATATTAATTCTATTCTAAAGGGCTGGCCCAAACCCATGACTTACATGACCCATAATCCTCATTTTCACACTACCACAATTGCATAAAATCATTATATTAGTAATATTATTCTCTTCAGTCCAGAATCCACCTCAAGATTACATAACAAGAATGAGAATTATGAGACTAGGTGACTACATTAACCATAGCCATACACATTAGAGCATGATGTGTCTGTTGGAGTTCGGAGGCTTAGGAAAGAAGGTTGACACCAAGAAACACACTGTAACCAGAGGTTGACCATTTAGAATAGGGGCACCCGCCCCAATCTGCATCAAACTAGGCTGCAAAAGGCAAAGAGGTAATGTAAAAAGGATAGAGATGCATAGTGAGGGCTAAGTTGTCGTGTATCTAGCGCAAAATGCATTTCAGAGCGTGCAGTACATGTACGCTTCCTGTGGCATCCTTATAATGCATAAAAAGAAATACTTGTTAAACATTACAGTAGATATCTGAACGTGTATAAGGGAGATACTGCAAGAGTCCTTGTGATGTTGGGGTAGAAAGTGGGATCGGTGATTGGGGACCAAAAGAGGCAATGTGTTGCACACTAGCAGGCTAGGCCAATGGGTGCACAATCGCATGTTCGCCAATTTCCTCGTAACAATTCCATTGTGAAAGAAATCAAAGAAGGAGACCACATTCATGTTTCCTATTATAATTTAGAGTACCATGGAATCAGAGGCAGTAATCCCATAAAGAACTAAGAAGTATAGAAGATGTTGTCTACAAGGATACGCAAATTGTGAGTGATGAAATATGCTATGAACAAAGCCGACTAGTTTCAACAACTGTAGCAAAAGGTTATGCGCAGAGTCTGTATGAGTCCATATAAAAACTTACAGAGCCGGCATACAAAATGAGGATGAGGAGCGCCCAAAAAAGGAGGCGGATACATGCATGCTATATCATCTAGATTGCTCGTATGGTTCAGTGGTTCTCCAAAACCCCTTCTTCAGTCGAAAGGATGAAATAAAACAAACTCGATACTATCTAAATAAATAGGCCGAAACTAGCCACACTAATCTTATGGATTAAGCTACACATGATAAATATCTACACAAGGGATAATTTACAATTGGTGAGAAGATGTTTATGAATATAATGTATTAATGTGTATTTTATCAAGATAAAAAAGGGTAAGGTATTCATTCAGACCTTCATCTCTATGCAAAATCCGATAGAGGTAGCAAGGGAATAAAGGTGCACTGATCTACAAGGGCGACTACGTGCCACAATCACCCCAACCTTCAACTCACGGAGCGTAATCTCTGCAATAGTTTTGGCATCCAACTGGACCAGATACCTGGCATATGAGGCCTTCTTCTCGCCCTGCAGGCACAGCTCTTGCTCCTTGGCTATGGCCACCCGCAGAGGCTCAACCCAACCTGCGAAGAGCGTTTCCAGGTGCTCTGGAACAACATTGGTCTTCTTCTTCGGCTCGTTTCCAATATCTTCTTCCCCATCCTGTTCTTCTCCGTCAGCCTCGTGTGAAGAACTAGGCACCTGCTTCGCAGCAGCCATAGATGCATACCCTTTGGGGCCACATGGACAACCCCACCTCTTAAAGACAAAATTGGACAAGGTTTCACCTTTTCGGCAATTAAACCAAAATCCTGCTATGGCCGTGGGAAACCCAATTGGTTGTTGTGGCCTCTCCACCATCCCCGGCAGTGGCAGACCCGGGCTACGATCCCCCGCTGTGAAGCATAGTGCATCACCACGCCACCTCCGGTGTCGTGAGAAGGCCTGCTTGATGGCGACGAGGCTGCTTCTTTGGCATCCCATCACGTCCCACCCATGACCCCTGTCTGCGCCGATGCGGCAATAACAAATACTCCTTACTCCCTAACAAAAAAAATGGCCTTTATAGTCATGGGCATAGTGTAAATGTACAAATAAGACTATAAGTCAAATCTTTCACAAATAAATTAAACATTAATTTTTTTATCCTTATTATAGTTTCTCCAATGAAATACTCCGTAATTACAAATTTAAAGCTAAAATTAAGATTGTTTACAAATTAAGATTTGTGGTGATGAGAATAGTAATGAAATCATAATAAGTTATGTTTAGGCGGGAAGTGCTGAGCGTATTGGAAGCCATATTGAGCGGAAGCATTGTGATTGTGAAGTACTAATCAATAAATGCTTTTTTGGCTGAATAAACAATTATTAATCATAAATGGCACTCTAGGTAAATGCAAAGGTCATTGTTGAGTGGATGGAAGTCTGTTTTGGAATATATAAAAAACTGACTCCACCTCCAGTTGCAAATAAATGAACCGATCAAATAAATAAATAATTTAAAATTGAAGTGTATCGGAAGCCTGTTTTTGGAATAATTTAAAATTGAAGTGTATTGAGAATAATTAATAATGTAAATTTTTCAATAGAGTGAATGTGTTCAATTTTGTAGATTTTACATTGACTGAAGATGAGGTGAAGAACTTTACTTTGAAATTCAAAAATTGTTGCGCAGTTGCGGGAGGAGTTTGGATGAATATAACACCATGCCGGTTCCAGATAGTAGATTCTTATCAAATAACGGCAATCGATTGGTGTACGATGAGCTACGGTATGATCGTAAAAAGTTGGTTGGGGAGCATGCAAATTTGCTGGGTAATTTGACTAATGAACAAAGAGTTGTCTATGATACTATAATCAAGGCTATTGATGCTGATAGTGGTGGAGTCTTCTTTGTGTATGGGTATGGAGGAACAGGGAAAACTTTTGTATGGCATACTCTTTCTACAGCTATACGTTCAAAAGGGGAAATTGTATTGAATGTTGCATCAAGTGGTATCGCATCACTTCTGCTGCCGGGTGGTAGAACTGCATTCTCGCTTCAAGATCCCGATTAATCCCAATGAAGATTCTACGTGCAACGTAAAACAAGGAAACACACTTGGCGAACTTCTTATCAAGTGTAAGCTTATAAAATGGGATGAAGCACCAATGGTACATGTTGGGATATTGGGTCCAGGCCCAATACCCCCTGCCCAGAATACAAGGAAGTCAGGAGAAGACACAGGCCCAAAGCAGTCAGGACCTGATCGGCGTTCGACACATTTCTTCTACTTGGAACATTTCAGGGAACAACTACGCCTACATCCATGACAGGGTCCCGCACACCGAACGCCCTACCCGAACGGGTAGTCAGCAAGTGGAGGCCGCATTTAATGCAAAAGCATGACAGCAGCAAGTGGGGGCATGGGTTCCTACGTGGCAGGGGGCACAGCCTACCGGATTCAGCCACGTGTCCAGCTTTCCCATCCCCATTTTAGTATAAATACCTGCATTAAGAACATTGTAAAGGGTTAGCATTTTAATACTCAGAGCTTAGAAAGTAGAAACACTTCTCTTATTCTCGTATTCTTGTACTTACCTACTGTTCGGGAAATTTCAGTGTAATCGCCGAATTATTGAATGCGAGTGGGCTTCTGAGTTGATTGATATTTCACTGTTTTACATTTTATACACTCTCCAAACCAACCCAACACCCCTACAATATCCAAAGCTTGTGTTGGGCTTTCGGATCTTCGGGACTAAACCTCAACATTGGCGCTGTCTGTGGGAAACGAACCCACGAACGGGCATAAGAAAAATGATATGCACAAACAGGCCGGAGGGATAAGAAAAAATAACAACCCAAGGAAAGAATACAGACCCGAACAGGGTAACCAAACAGAACAAGGAGGTACCTAGTGATGGCAAAATTTACTGAAAGTTTGCATATTCCCTGAACGGGCATAAGAAGAGACAGGAAGAATACCAGGTACATAAGTCAAGATGAATCGCAGAAATGGCTAAAGTCCTAAATGTTGGACTTCTGCTAACAAGAGCTACATGTCGAACGGATGGAAAGAAGCGGAGAATGGATAAGTCCTAATCAGGGCTACATCGGGAGATGAGGGTTCAAGGAAATGACTAAGTCCTAAACATTGGACTCAATACCGGAATACAATTTTGAAACGGGAAACCCAATCGCTATGACAGAACAGGAGGGGAATGGGGATCAATAAAAAATAAAACAGCCAAGTCCCAAAAGTAAGGCAATGAACAAATAAACTACAAAGGCAAATTGATGGGCAAAAAGTTTTGTATATTCATCGGCTCTGCTGACCGGAAATTACAAAGTGATATTAATGAAGTAAGAAATAAGGACACTACGGAGGATTAATGATGTCTAAAACTACTGTTCGGGGTTATCCTCACCCTCTTCATCATCATCATCATCCTCAGCATCTTCATCTACAGCTTGGACAACCTCCATCCCTAGGGCCTGCCTACATTTCTTAATCTGCACAGTCAGAGCGTTTAGGTGGCCGGGCTGGAGATCGGAGAAGTCAGATGGCTGCACCGGTCGGCCCAAGTGCTTTTCCAGGAGAGGAAGGAGCGGCTGGAGCATATGTTGGCAGCCTGAGCCATAGACCCCCCGGGCGAAGGTCTCAGCCCACTCCTTGGTCACTGGATGCCGATCAAGCACCCTGACCCCCTCCTTCTGGCGCTCCTCGCCAGCCAGCTTGGCCAGGTGCTCCCCGAAGACAGTGGGGAGCTGCTCAAACAGTCAAAAGCATACGCCCGGAACTCTTCCGAAATCTTAAAACCTTCCCGAACAGCCGACAGATCAACAATCACTTCAGCAGGGCCATCCGGGATTTGTGAAGGCGCTTCCTGGAACTTGACCTGAGCAGCTTCTGCCGCTGCAATCTGGGCCTGGAGGGAGGCCACTTTGACGCGAAGCTCCCCGACTTCGGCCTCCGTCCTCTTCCGCTCCTCAGCGAAGGCCGGCCGTTCAGCCTCAGCTACCCGGACGGCGGAAGAAGACGCCTGTTCAGCATTCTCCTTGGCCATGAGCAGATCTCGCTCCTTGGCCAGCCGGGCCTCACGAATCTTGAGGCTGTATATCCCCACCTGCACACAATCAATCAGAGTTAACAAAGATGAACGCGCAATCAGGAAAGGAGATACGGAAAAGGGACTGAAATGGGAATTACCTTGAGGGCAGCAGAGGTTAGGCATTCCTCCACTTCCTCGACCGGGAGATGGGGAAGAGAGAAATCGTTGAGGTCAATGGAAGTAGACCAAACCCGGCTCGCCGGACAAAATCAAGATAAATGGATTCAACCATGGAAATCGTTGAGGTCAATGGAAGTAGACCACCCCGCTCCAGCATGTCATGGGCGGTATCCTTGAGAGAAATCCTCTGAAACTGCCGGGCCAGGTCAGACTGGTGGGCGGCCACCTCCTCAGCAGAGAAGTTATGAGGTTGCTGATCGGAGAAAAGCTGATCCATCAGCATGTCAGCATGGGACGTTTGCTGATCAGGAGCAACTTGCTGAACGGCGAGGACCTCCTGGGCAGGCTCCGGCTGCTCAATAAATTGGGAGGCAACTTGGGAGGAAGTTGCCTGATCGGCTTTCCTCAGCCTCTTCCTCTTGATCTTCCTTCTCTCCTGGACAGGAGGGGAGACCTGTGGCTCATCATCGACACCACATGAGAACAGCCTACTATCGTCCATGGCTGGTTGATCAGGATTGGCCCCTTCGGGTTCTGAAGACTCGTCTTGGTTGGGAGCTGAAAACAAAGGAAAAAATTAGTACCGAACGGTTCGCACGTGGATGAACAAAATGTTTTCTCACACGGGAAGGACCGCCCGGACCATGGTACTTGGTTTTCAGTCAAGTAAGTCCAGGAATACGGGCAGTACCTATCCCGACCTTGATAAGCCGTTCGGGAGTCAGGTAGCTCATGATCTTGAAGCACCCGTCGGCCTCCACAGCAATGGTATCCTTGCTAAGATCTTCGGATATGAATGGGTCGGGGGACTTCGGAGGAAAGGCGTTCCATTTTCTTAGAATTAGACCATTTGGGACGGAGACAAAGAAGAATCTATCCTTCCAACCCTTGATAAAGGACGGGGCATCACAGAACAGGATATGCCCCGTTCGGGCACTCACCACCAAGAATCCGTGAGCTTGTTGAGGGATGACCGAGAAAAAATAGTGGAAAAGCTCTAGGGTGGATGTGACCTTAACGTGAGCGCAGCGACAAATAAAACCGGCTACTGCCCGATAGGAGTTCGACATAATTTGGGCTGGCACTACGTTGTAAAAGTTTAGCAGGGAAACAAAGAAGGGGTGGAGTGGGAACCTAAGGCCAGCCTTAAGGGAATCAAAATGGACCACAACCATCCCAGGGAAGCGGCGCATTGGGTGGAGGCCCGCTTGAAGACGAAAGTCCACCGAGTCCGGAATTAACATTTGAATTTGGGCCCTATTCTGGGCCGTGAGTTTTTGGCGCATAAGTCTAATAAGGACTAGGTCAAGTTTATGACAGGGAACGCCGCTGAGAGGGCCGGCTTCCATAACCGCCATTTCATCCCCAGATTTGGTGCCATCAGAGTAGGTTCCGGAAGAAGAAGCGTCATCGTGGGGGACCTCTGCAGGAATGGGGGCGATTCCCAGTGCGGCACCATGGTATCCCCTGGAAGATCAGTGTTTGAAGTGGAAGTTTCGGAGGGACGAAGGTGAGGTGCCATACTTACAGAACAAGAAATTAAAAGGGAAGAAAATGGTCCGGAAGGTACCTGAACAAGAGCTACGATTAGACTCTAGAGAGAAGGCAGAGCAACAAGCCAAAAAATGCAAAGTTTCGAAACCCAGAATCAAAGCTGGAGAAGCCTATTTATAATCTGACACACCGATTCGCCAGCCAATCAGAGAAGGACACATCGCCAGTAATGATGACGGGGACACGTGTCACGCGGAGAAGCCTCCCCAAATAATCATGACGGTTATCGGGAAATTAAAACGGCAGCCGCATAAAACCGTCAAAATATGCCTCGGGAACTGGCGGAATACCATCTGATACATACCCGAACAGCATTCGGGCAATAATCTTCTACTTCCTTATGCACTCATTACCGTTTGAGACATAGGAAGTGGGGGACTAGTGTTGGGATATTGGGTCCAGGCCCAATACCCCCGGCCTAGAATACAAGGAAGCCAGGAGAAGACACAGGCCCAAATCAGTCAGTACCTGATCTTGTGTTGGGCTTTCGGATCTTCGAGACTAAACCTCAACAGTACACAAATATTGCTTTGGGGCTTTAGATCGGACACTCCGAGATATTTTGCGATTTGAAATCCTTCAAGTTTACAGATGCCCTTTGGAGGAAAAATTGTGGTGTTTGGTGGTGATTTTAGGCAGATCCTTCCTGTCATTCCGAAAGGAAGGAGACAGGATATAGTTAGTGCATCCATAAACTCTTCTTATTTGTGGTAGCATACAAATGTGATGCGTTTAACAAAGAACTTGAGGCTTCTTCATTTGCCAGGCAGTGATCAATCAGAATATTTGATTAAGTTTTCTGAATGGATTGCAAGCATTGAAGACGGTACAATTGGAGGGCCGAATGATGGTTTTGCAGAGATTGAGATTCCTGAGGAGTTCTTGATTACAGATTTTGAAGATCCAATAGCTAAAATGGTTGAATCCATTTATCTTGATTTTGGAACCATTGATCATGATCCTAGTTATTTGGAAAAAAGGGCAATATTGGCACCAACCCTTGATGTTGTTGATTCTATCAACGATTATATGCTCACTTTAAATGGTACTGAGTTGAAAACATACTTAAGTTCAAATAGTCCATGTCAGCCAGATGCAAATCTTGATTTCTTAGCCGATATTCACACTCCAGAGTTTTTAAATGGAATTAAAGCTTCCGGAGTTCTAACCACCAATTGCATCTTAAAGTTGGGACACCGGTTATGCTAATGAGAAATATAGACCATTCACAAGGTTTGTGCAATGGAACTAGGATGGTTATCACTAGATTGGGTAATCATATTTTGGAAGCAAAAGTTTTGACGGGAATAAGTGCAGGTCAAAAGGTCTTAATACCTAGAATGTCTTTGACACCGTCAGATGTGAGGTTGCCTTTCAAGTTCCAGAGGAGGCAGTTTCCAATTATTATCTCATATGCAATGACAATAAACAAGAGTCAGGGGCAGTCTTTATCTAAAGTTGGATTATTTTTGCGCAAACCGGTTTTTAGTCATGGTCAATTATATGTTGCTCTTTCGCGTGTTACTGATCCCCGTGGTTTGAAGATTCTTATACGTGACAAGGAAGGTAGGACCGTAGGAGTACTAATGTAACAACAAATGTTGTATTTCATGAAATCTTTCAGAATTTGTAAAACACTTATAATTTTTATGTTTTAATGTACTTAATTTATTTGTTTCCCAATTTCTTAAACCCTTTTGATATAAATTAGGGTTCTTTTATTTATATGTTTTGTGATTTATATTATTAATTCCCGATGAATTATTATGTGTTATATACGTCAAATTTAATTAATTTCATATACACGAAATTTTTCCCGTGCATCGCACGGGTCATATACTAGTTAAGCAAAAACGAATGAAAGCATTGATATTCCTCTTTATTATTAGCAAACGTGGCATTTATTAATACGGGTCCCATTATACAAAAAAACCAATTTTTTCAAACTCATGTAACTTTTGCATTTTTTTCTCTGATTTTCATAAAAGATATATCAAAATTCATAATTTTTTACGATCTTTCATATGACACCAATATTGTATATATAATTTAGAAATAACATTTAACGTTTATTTTTTTTATCATCAAATCCAACTCTTATATTAAAACCATTAGGGAAAAGATCGTTACAACAAACTCAAAAAGACGAACAAAAACAATCTCTAACCAAAAATCATAATCGACTCTACGGCTAGACTCTGAGACGATCACCCCTGAAAGAGCAATACGAATCGCTAACCATCAAGCGGGTGTGACACAACAATCACTGACCATATAGGCCCTTCTAATGACATAATATCTAGCAGAGTTGACAATCATTATTGTAGACCTAAAACTAAAGCTCTCAACAAAAAATGAAACGCCGTAAACAAACATAACACAAAAATAAGACCATAAAAATAGAATAACTCACAAATATTCCAAACTTCTTTCTGACTGTTCTCTTGAAAAATCATCTTCCAAACCCTCACTTCTCAATCAATCCAAGGTCGCGGTTCAGGAGGTGGAGGAACGGCCAATCTGTATTCTCCCTTGATCAGCCCTTTGTCGCTCTGTGCACTACTACGTCTCCTCGGTTCTTCCATCCAAACACTACGAAACTGCCGGTCCGAAGCAGAAACTTCACATGCCTCCTTTGTCGCCTTCCCTTCCGAATTCTCTATTCTGAACTTAAAACGTATGGCCGAAAACCAACCACGCTCCTCGGCAAAAGCCGATAGCGTACGATCCAAACTAGCGGCTTGCCCTGCAGCAACCCTAGAGAGAGAAAACGAACCATCCTATCTGTTAAGTTGTTATTATATAACATTTAAGGTTTATTAAACAACCTTCCTATTTTCAAACCTCGATACAGATTATGACGTATTAAATAAAATAAATAATTCATAATGCATAACCAAAAAAACAAACCTAATTGATAAAAATATAAAGATTATTCTCTATTAAATAAATATAACTTATTAGTTTTTAGTAACTATAACTGTGTTTAGAATTATATCAAAGTGATTATGAAAGTGTGTACATAGACACTTTTCTAGTTGAGTTGACTCAAGTTATTGTAGAAGATCATTTTAGATACTTGTAAATATACTTCTGATTGAATACAATTTTACCCTTAATGGATCTTAAGTGTCAAGTCCTCCTTAATTCACTCATTTTCTATAAGAATGCCACGTGGCCTTTTTTCACTCCAAATGTACTAAAAATGAAGGGTGGGCATAGGGAGATGTATTTGGTGCGGCCCAAGCTTTAAGGAACCCCAAAAAAATTTAAAGTGTTATAATTTTTTTATTTTTGCTCCAATTTTTACAAAAAATATACTAAAATTTTTACATAATTTTTGAATATATAAAAACATAATGTATTAATGGTCTCTATAATTATGTATAAAATAAAATAATATATATTTATATATAAGAAAAGAGTATCCTATTAAAAATTCGGTTTTACCTCCAATTATTATGCAACGTGCCTACCTTCCAGTGTTGGAGAGCATTGCTCTACTATGGCACGTGGCTTCATCTTTTCCATTTTTGTTATTTACTTTACAAAAACGAATTAGGGAGATAGAAAATATAAAAAATTTGGCCTACTAACATACCTTATCATTTTTAGTTTGTTTTAAATTGCTCTGATCTATTTTAGATTATCTTTATTAAATTTACTTTCTGACTATATCGACTCAAGTTACTGTACAAATCATTTTTAATTACATTAAAAAAAATACTCAAAACGCTAACAATCGAACGGTAGAGAGTAACTTAAAAAGGAATTATGTAATTAAGTAATGAAGATGTGGAAGACATTTTCTCTCTCATATATAGTGCTTTTAGGTAGAAGATAAGTCGTCTAACCATTAAGAGTGATAATTTTCTCTCTCATATGAAGTGCTTTGAAGTATAAGTCGGTTTACAATTGAGCGACCAAATTTTCTCTCATATGTAATGTTTTTAGGTATAAGATAAGTCGTCTAACAATTGAGTGAATAATTTTCTATGACATATATAATGCTTTTACGTATAAAATAAAATTTTAGGTATAAGAAGATTATGTCATAATTAAGGAGACTAACAATTGACTGAGAGAATTTTATCTATCATATATAATGCTATTAGGTACAAGATAATCCGCCTAACCATTAAACAGCATAACTTTGTCTCTCATATGTAGCGCTTTTAGATATAAGAAGATAAGTGTGCTAACAATTGAGCGAAAGAGCTTTGTCTGTCATATGTAATTCTGTTAAGTATAAGATAAGTCACTAACAAGTGTGGTGAAGTTTTTTCTCTACAATTTATAGTGCTTTCAGTATAATGAAAGCCGGCTAACAATTGATTGAGAGAAATTTCTCTCTCATAAGTCATATGTAGTGATATGATTTTAGATATAAGAAAATAAGCTTGCTAATAATTGATCGAGAGAATTTTCTCTCCCAGGTGTAAAGATTTTAAGTATTAAAAGATTAGAAGATAAGATTGCAACAATTAAGCAAGAGAATTGAAGTGTGTGGAGGGGTCTCTTTCTCTCATATGTAGTGCTTTTAGGTATTATAAGATAAGATAACCTTGCTAACAATTGAGTGAGATAGCTAGCTTTCTACCTCATATGTTGTTGTTTTATGTGTATAAGATAAGATAACATAAGCCGACAAATATTGAGAGGGATAATTTTATCTTTCATTCTAATTGCTTTTAGATATATAAAGCTAAAAAAATGAGCTTGCTAACAATTGACTATGAGAATTGTCTCTCTTATATGTAATGTTTTTTTAGTGTAAGGTAAGGTAAGCCATCTAACAATTGAGCAAATAATTTTTCTATCATATAGTGCTTTAAGATACTCCGTATAAGATTTTAGATATAAGAAAGACTAAGCCATAAACCGTCTAACAATTGAGCGAGAAAATTTCCTATCTCATAAGTAGTTTTTAGGTATAAAATTATCCAACTAATAATTGAGAAGAATATTTTTCTCTATCATATTAAGTGTTTTTAGATATAAGACAAGTTAGCTAACAATTGAGCGGACAAATTTTCTCTTATATGTAGTTCTTTTAGGAATTAGAAGATAAACTTGATAACAATTGAACATAATAGTTTTCTCTCATATATAATTCTTTCAGGTATAAGATAAAATGGCTAACAATTGAGCTGAAGATTTATTCTCTCTCATATGTAGTACTATTAGAGATAAGGTAAGCCAGCTAACAATTGCACGGCAGAACTTTCTCTCTCATATGTAAGGGGTTTTAGATATAAAAAGATAAGTTTGCTAATAACTGGACAAGAAAACTTTCTCTCATATGTAATTTAAGTGTAAGGTAGTCTAGCTAACAATCATGTAGGAAAATTTATCGCCCATATGTAGTGCTTTAAGGTATAACATAAGTCAACTAACAATTAAATGAGATAATTTTCTCTCTCATGTGTAGTATTTTTAGATATCACAAGATTAGCTTACTAATAATTGAGCAGAAGAATTTTATCTCTCATATGTAATGTTTTTAGGTATTAGAAGATAAATTTGTTAATAATTGAGTGAGGAATTCTTATATATGTAATTCTTTTAAATATAAAATAAGCCGGCAAACAATTACTCAATAGAATTCTCTCTCTCGCACATAGTGCTTTTTAGGTATGATATAAGTTAATCCCGCTAACTAACAATTGAGCGAGAGAATTTTCTCTCATATATAGTTCCTTTTTCAATCAGATAAGGAGATTAAGAATTAGGTAGAATAATTTTGCTCTCATATGCTAGCACTAATATAACTAATGAGTAGCAAGTTCTTATTTAAGTAATATGTAGTACTATTAAAAAATTTACTGCACATTTGCAAATATTTTATAGTTTTATACTAGAGTTAAATAAGGGTTCACAGAAAATTCTACCGAGTCAATAATTTAAAAGGTGGAGTGCACGTTCATAGACAAATGAGTACAAAGAGACACGACAGTCGTTTCCCATAAGCCATTTGTCAGTTGCAAGTTGATAGAAGAGGGTCACTGGTCCACCCAGTTGAAGTTCAACGTTTCCCTCCTGCATTTTATAAGAATTAACAGAAACGTATGATCTTTTATCAGATAACAAAATGATACAACCGTAGTTTTCATGCATAAAAAATGACATGATAGGAGACTGATACATGCAAGAGATTTAGAACAGAGAAAGAGAAGACTTACTATTGTGCTAAGAGACTGTCAAAGTCTACAAAGTTATTATATGGGTAGCGCCTGTAATGTTGAGGGTGCACATGCATTAAGGGTGAGGAAAAAAGAACATGACGAATGGAAAATAGAAACACAAGACTGAACAGCATCATTACTGGATGAGAGAAAATAAGGAGACGCAGTAGTAGCCGGTGGTACTTACAATGACTTAATGTCGAGTGCAAAAGCAGGTCGGGGAGGAGGCTGTACATATGCTGCTTCCGTAAGCAATTGCAACACACGCCTTCCAATCTGACAGTCCATCATAATGACGCCTTCTGTGAGAACATACATATACTACAGAGCATTTATGGAAGACAGGCATAGAATGGTCAGATAGACACATATATAGCACACTGTAGTGGGAAAATCTACTCCAAGTGAATGCCTATTTTCTATGACACTTAGATCATGTATTTATCCATCAAAGGATGGTCACTTTAGTACTAATCATTGGTTGCTAACAACATTTGTGTAGTCGACTGTCTAAGTACTGCACCAGTTAGTACGATCCCCCTCCCGGCTTAAGGTTCTCATTGAAAAATGACATTGTTACTTAGACAATAATTAAATAAAGGTTATTCAAGTGTATTTTCACAAGTAGTTTTGATGGATATTTAATCTAATGAGGTCATTGCTAATAATTGTGACGTTATAGGTGACCCACTTTATTCGAGGATTAAGTTGTCGTTAAAGAGTGCTAATTATTTCATTTCATAAAACAAAAATGGAAACCTTTAACCGGGATGTCCAAAAGAGACAAGTGAGAAGCTGAAGCTGAGATGCATGGAGTTATTCTTTTTTGCTAAAAGAGATTTTATAGACTCTAATTGAAGAATCGGGAAAAAAAATAATGAATAAACTGCAAAATCATTTCCATAGTATATAAGCATTTGTCTGTAATGAAGTACGCTGTCCAACTTAATGATTACAATGAAATGATGGAGAAGAACATTAGCACAAACATATATGGTTAATGATAATACAGCAAGGCCCAAGATATTATTAAATAAAGGATACCTTCTCATACATAGGGAAACCCCAGTCTCGTCCCTTAATCACGGCCCTCAAGGGCTCATACGCTCCTTCCTTCCACATTTTAACAACTTTTTTCTCCAAGTTCTCTAGAAATTCATCACATCTGCCATCCATCCTTTCCCGTTTTTTCCTAAGCTTGGCTTTGTTTTTTCGAGAAAACTCTGTATCCATGCCTAATTGATATTTAAAAACAACATAAGTATATATAGACACACATACATATATCATTGAACAATTTTTGTCACGATAAGAAATGAAAAATATTTTTTAAATAAAGCAAACAATTAATGAAAAATATTTTCCATCTCGAGACCCGGGCTATGCACCTGACCACAGTAACACACTCAATATTGTATTTCATATAATGATGTATAGGTATCCCACTATTTAAGTCTATAATACGCGAACAACTTGAGAGAGTCTTCTCTTTGATCTCCTCCTTCCACTCCCACTCAAATCCTTCCCCAGCCATTCCAAAAATCTTAATGAACTGAGATTCCAAGTAATTTTTAGGAGATTTTTTTGAAAGATTCCATTAACCGCACAATGGATTGAAATTTGAAAATCAAATACCCTTAACAAAGTTCTCTAGAAATTCAAAAACAATCTTTAAGAAATTTATATATCGGAACCACAAACGAAGATAGTAGCGTCATAAAAAAACAAAAGGTGATGATTCATTCAAAATGGAACCCGAATTGAAGTAACACAACTTTAAAGTCCTACATAAAATACAAAATATTTTGTAATAATAATAATGATAGCTATCTCAATTACTTACCTCGTTGATGCAGTCCACTATCTTCAAAATCTGAGCAATTGTAATATCTCCATTAAATAGAGAGTGACATATGCTTCTAACCGGATGTTTTCAATCCTCAAGACAGAGTTTTTTCAAGTAATCTACATATCCAATGTGCTTGAGTTTAAAAGTAAGTATAGCACTACCGCAACACTATACCAATCATGGGCGGGAATGACTGCATCTCCCTTCGTAAGTCTAAGGTATCGAAACGATTCAGTTCCAAACCCGGTTAACGAATTTGTACATGTGATTTATAAGTACTTTTCTCTTGAACATCCATCTACGGGGTTTGGAACTGAACCGTTTCGATACCCTAGACTTAGGAAGGGGGATGCAGTCTTTCCGGCCATGATTGGTATATGTTGGAGCACTGCTATACCTACTCTTAAACCCAAGCACATTGCGTGATGTAGATGACTTGAAAAAACCATGTCTTGAGAATTGGGAACATCCTGTTAGAAGCATATGCCACTCTCTACTTGATGAAGATATCCCAATGGCTCATATTTTGAAGACAGAACTGCATCAACGAGATAAATAATTAAAATAGTTTATCATTATTATTACTATTATTACTAATTATTTTGTATTTTATGTAAGAGGACTTTAAAGCTGCATTACTTCAATTTGGGTTCTATTTTGAATGAACCATCACCTTTGCTTTTCTGATGAAACTATTATCTTCGTTTGTGGGTCCAATATATAAATTTCATAAAGATTGCTTCTAAATTTCTAGAGAACTTTGTTAAAGGTATTTGATTTTCAAATTCTAATCCATTGAGCGGTTAGTAGAATCTTACAAGAATTTCCTTTAAAATTACCTGGAATCCTAATCCATTAAGAATTATTTTCCCTCATGAAGATCTACTAAATATAGATTGTCGAGGCTATTTTTGGAATGAATGTGCGAGGGAAGAATTTGAGTGGGAGAGGAATGAGGAGATCATTTCCGGTGCGAGGGGATAATTTCCCCCGGTCGCCCGTGGTTTCCTCCGGTGCGAGGGGATAATTTCCCCCGGTCGCCCGTGATTTACTCCGGTGCAAGTGGATAATTTCCCCCGGTCACCCGTGGTTTCCTCCAGTGCGAGGGGATAATTTCCCCCGGTTGCCCGTGGTTTCTTCCGATGCGAGGGATTTATCCCCCGGTCGCCCGTGGTTTCCTCCGATGCGAGGGATTTATCCCCCCCGGTCGCCCGTGGTTTCCTCCGATGCGAGGGGTTTATTTCCTCCGGTCGCTCGTGGCTTATACTGAGGGGGCTTAGCCCTGGCCTTGTTTTGAGATGCTCCAGCTCGTTTCCTGCACCAGTTTGCGCCCAGGTGGCCAAATAAAGGTGAACGGGGGTAATTCGAGGGGCTCGGCTTGTACCACTTTGGAGACTTTTGGATGCACCCCGGTTTTCAAATAAGGGTCACCGGGAGTAGGTCGAGGAGTTTGTTTATATAATCCAAATCATCAAATAAAGATGTTCGGAAGATTGAAGCTCAGGTTGCACCCGGTTGGGGATTTTAACCCGCTAAAAATGGTGGTGATAACAATAATAATAACATCAATAATATTGCATTATTAGTAACCTCGGGGATTTTAACCTGCCATAATGGTCTTCACCACCTTGGGGGAATTTGAGCCGCCATAATGGTGGTGGCAATAATAATAATAATAGTAATAATAATTACAATAATAATATTTAATTAATTTAGTAACAATTTATTTGTATAAATAGGAGTATTGGACTGGAATAATGGACTTAGCTCTTATTTGGACTGGAATAATGGACTGTGATGTTGAAATTGGGCCGGAATAATGGGCTGTGTGGGCCTTTATTTCTTGTTGGGTAGCTCCTCCCCCAATCTCACCTAGCCATTGGTCAACCTTCTGCCAAAGCCTTCGCCAGCCCTCAAGTTTGGCAAGTGGGCAGAACCTTCGGCTCCATATGCGGCCAGGATCCTAAGCAGGAGCAGCACACCGGTTCAAATGTACAAAGACCGGTTGAGCCGTTTGTCCATCCATTGGAGCAGTAGCAGCGGGGAATGAAGACGGTGAGGTCCTCTCGGGCAGTGGCAGGGGGGAAGCTCCTTCCGGCGGAGACTGGCACATCCCTCAGGCGGACCCAACGGCAGAGAGATGATGACCGGAGCAAGCTCGCTAGGGCTCCGGCAGCGGCAGCGGCGGCGAAGTCGAGTCAGCAGGGGGTTCCTGGCAGCCATTAATGGTGGAGACCTTGAACTAGCTCACCCGACTCGAGGGAGCTCTGTCCGACGGCGCTGGCGCAGAGGTGGGGAACAAGCTTCAAAGGGCGACCGGCAACCTTTCGACGAAGAGAAGAGCTGCGTGCCATGCCTGATGTAAGCCATAGCTTCAGGTTTGCTGGCGACGATGGCCACCATCTGGAGAGCAACATGTAAGTTTTAGAGCGGCGGCAGAGAGCGTGACCTCTAGCTGATGAACGGTGAAGGTGGTTTCGGCCTAGATCTGTGAAACACCAGACTTCTCTGGCTCATCTTTTTGGGATTTTTCAGACTGATTATGGCTGATTTCTTTGTATTTTGGATGATTTTTTGACTTTTTTGGTAGGAGAGCGTGAGCAAGAGAGGAGAGGAAGAAGATTGAATAGTACTCCGTAGTTAGGTTTAGAAGAGCTCCCTTTGGGAGTATAAATAGAGATACAACGGGCTGGACCGCTAATATGGGCTTGATAGGCCCAACTACATAAATGGCTAATATAGTACTTCTTCCGTCCCGCAATAAACTTCACACTTTGACTTCACATAGATTAAGAAAATAAATTTGACTTTACTGTGGAGTGCACTGTTTTGCACTGTTCAAACACTGTTTAACATTGTTTAACGCTGTTTGGACACTGTTTGGCACCGTTTTTATGTAGATAATTTGTCAAATAAGGAAAGTTTTGAAGTGTGAAGTTAATTTTGGGACTGCCCAAAAAGGAAAGTGTGAAGTTTTGGCGGGACGGGGAGAGTAGATACAAATGATATAAAGACTGTACAACAATGTAAAATGCTATCAGGTAAGTGTATGTGGGCCGCTTTCCAGGCCCAATAGTCATGAGACCCGAGGGTCCAAGTCTATATACTCTATCAACTGTCTTCTCGGTTTTATTTTTAGATGAAATTTGGTATGAATAAACTAGACTTAATGAAAAATATGCTCAAAAATTCATCAGAAAATTCCATCGGGAACCGCCCCAAATGGCGACGGCTGGACAGAACCTCCTATGCAAGAGGAGATTTTCACTTTTTTGGTTAGTTCGAGGACCTATTTGCCCATTTTCCCACAAAAAAATTCCACTTGGAAGTTGATTAATATGATATAATTACTTGATTAGTTTATTAATTGGTTTCGTTCATGATTGATTGTTTGATCTTTTAATTGTTGGTTGTTATCTATTGAGTGTTGATGTTATAATTTGTTAATTTTGTTATAAGAAAATTTTTGATTATATTTAATGTTTTTTTAAATGTAATTAATTTCAATGGGTAATAAAAAGAGAGGAAGATTAGGGAAAGTGACACTAATTTAAAAAAGCTCAATGAAAATGTTTGTTTGTGTGAAGAACTAAAATTTTAAATTTCCTACTCAAGTTGAAAAAACAAAGAAGAAGAATGATTTAGTTGTCGGAAATGAAACGATTCACAGTCATCTCATCATTGGAGGGTGAATTTAAAAGTGGATAATAATTGAGTTAATTACTTAAATAAAACTAAAATATTGGTATAGTACACAAATAGGATCATCATTATTTTCTTCATTAATAAAAACCGCTAATACATACTCCCTCCGTATTTTTTGTTTCATACATTAGGATATGGCACAACATTTAAGGGTGAATAGCAAAGGTAATGAATAGTATAGAAAAAGTATGAGAGAAGGTGAAAAAGTAGGAAAGAGAGGATAAAAGGTAGAAAAAGTAAAGGTAATTGAGTATTTTTAAAGGAAAAACTTACCAAAAAAGGAAAGTGTATGGAACTTTTAAATACATTCCAAAAAGGAAAGTGTATGAAACGTTAAAATATGGAGGGAGTAATATTATTGGTTTACACAGAAGAGAGTTTTTCAAATTTTATACATGTCTTGAAATATTATTATTATTATTACGATTATTGTTGTCATTATTGTTATATTATGCATGTTAGTTTAGACAAAAAAAAAAGATTTTACAATTTTTTTAAGTTAAACGCATTTTAAGTTTCCGCCCCTAGTCCTTCAAACATATAGGACCGACCCTAATTGTTCACTGTCTTGTTTGCGAACTTGTCCCATAAAAATGCTTCCATAGTGAAACCTTGCGGAGCTCAATATGGCCAAAGAAGATGAAGACATGTCGGTATTCTGTGTTTTGGAGTGATAAACCCACATGAAGAAGGACATGCTCACACAAGGGATGACGACAAATATGGAATTTCGAGAGTATATTAATACTTTTATAGTTGTACCAATGACTAATTCATTAATCCATGCCTTCCCATTAAATTTTAAATGTTTAACAATTGTTAAAACAATGGTACATTTTATGAAAATGTCTCATTGTTAAAAACAATGACAATATTGTCAAGCAACGTCATATTGAACATGTTTGGTGACCCTATTGTTCGAATAATATTGAAAAAAGTCATCACGTCGAACATTATTGTTATAAACATTGATATAACAAATATAAATTACTATATTCTACACACTGTCAAAATGTAGGGGGATGTCGGAAAATCTCACATTGTGCTATAAATAAGCACAAGTCAATGGCTTTCGTAACAATATATATCAATATACCATTACCAAAATGCAAGAAATATTACCACATTAAAAAATGAAACAATGTCAAATATTATTATTATAAACATTTGTCACAACAAATAATATTATTATATTGCAATTACTGTCAAGATGTAAGAAAATTCTCTTAATGTCAATGACATTATAATAATGACACCATAATAATGAAAATGTTATTGACGGATCCATGATTATCATGAAAATGTCAATGTTATAAAAATCATATAACAACATTCAAGGTTGGGTATCACAATAAATTGAGATTAGCTACCATGAATCAATACATGATATCAGATGTAAAAAGAATAAAAGATAAGAAAGAAAACAAGATAACATATGATAAAACAAAATAGAGATAAAATAAAATACAAATAAAAATGATAAGATAAAAGATAAAAAAGAATATATATATATACACACACACGCATACATACATATATATATAATAAAAAGCATAAAGAACATTAAAAATATAACAAGATAAAAGAATGAAAAGATAAAAAGTCGCCAATAACATATAAAAGAGATCAATCCTCGATACTTTAAAAATCATATTGAAAATAATTTCAGATATTGTCACATTGTCAAGGAATATCACAATGTCAAGAAAAATTTCGCCAAATTCACCACGTCAATGGTATAGAAAAAAGTCATTGTAATAATTACAATGTCAATAACAATGTCCTCATGACAATGTCTATGTCAAGAAAAATGTAACAATATCCGACACTGACATTATAAACATTTTCAAAACAAAAAATGTCACAAAATTTTAAACATTGTCAAAACATAGAAAAATGTCACATTTTCATGTTGTACATTGTCATTATAAACTTTGCTAAAATAAATAATGTTAAATGCCAATGCCAAAACAAACATTATCAAAATGTAGGAGAATATATCACAGTATCAAAAAATGTTACAAAATGAAATAATGATGATGTCAATGCAAACTATAAAAATGGAGAGCCCGGTTGGTAATAGCTAAATCAACTCCACTGGCTAGTTGATAATCACAATAATTACTTATGTTTTACATAAGTAATTATTATTTAACTGTACAAAAATGCGAAGCGAAAATAGGTAAATATTCCCGAGTGAGCGGAAACATGAAACACGGCTTGGAGCAACAAAAATAGGGTCAAAAGTCAAAAGGGGTTGAAAACCGGCACTTCTGGATCAATTTCGGGCAGCAAAAGAGGAAGAGAAACGAAGTACATATTTGGGCGCAGGAACCGGCGCCGGTCATCACATATCCGGCGCCGGTCGTTTGGTATTTTTCACGGATCCCTCCTGTTTTCAACCGGCGCTGCACGACCGGTGCATTTTTTCACAGAACCGGCGCCGGACATGCTATAACCGGCGCCAGTTGGTCCGATTTCTGCTGCAAACACAACTACGTGCAAGAGATTTCTTGATTAGAAAACTTCATCTTCCTCATATTTGATCAAATATCTCCTCCATACATGATTGTTGGGCTTGAATATACTAAAAGATGCCATTCTTTAGCCTATATAAAGCCATCAATTCATCAAGCAAAGACATTTCATTCCATAGATTAATTCATAGCTATTATATTTTGTTCTTGCTATTTTTCTTCAAGTTATTGAGGAGGAAACTTCAACCTCCGAAATCATTGGTGTTTAGGTATTATTTCCTTTGTAATTTCATGTTCCATTACATTTCAATATTGTATTGTGATTAATATGAGCATTAGAAGCTAATTTCTTAGCTAAGGCTAGGGATGAACCTCTATGCACATACATTAGGTGTTTGATAAAAGTTCTAAACCAATAAATTGCGATTTATCCTTTATATTTTGATTGTTTATGACTATGGTGTACAACATAGAAGTATGTTAAATTTAGTTTATGCTTGCAATTAACGTTGAAGTCTAAACTATGAACATTAAAGGATAAACATATATAGTACCGAGAATAGAAATATATCCGGTCTTATATGATACGGGTGTGATGTCTTGATATTCAACGGGGTTTTCGGTAGATGAATGTAAGTCGTAACGGGACTTACACGTAACGAAAACCACGCTCACGCTGCCTTAACCGGAGTTGAGAATATATTAGCGACATCGTATTCATGATTATTTGGAAAGAACTACTATTAAATAACTATTAAAGCATTTAGGTGAATCCTGATTGCCTTAGTAATTCCCATTCTTGTTTAAATCAACCTCAAAGAACAAAGTTTCTGAAAAACTATACCATTTATAATATTTTGCTTTCAATACTCGACTTTATAATATCAACCATTTCCCTGTGAATCGACCCAGTATTTACCGGTATTTTATTACTATATCGACACTTGTATACTTGCAAGTTTAGCCCGATCACTAGTTCTATTGAAATTTATGAATATCTGGCCGAAGTGGCTGGATTAACAGATTTTGCTGATTTAGAAAAAGAAAAAATATTTAAAATATATTTTATTAATTACATAAAGAAAAATATATACGAAAATATAGCGAAAATGATTCTCAAGAAAGCCAGAAAAGTAACTTCAACATTATTTTTTCATATTATTACACAATCCAATGCAGAAAATCAAAAGTTACGTGTTTGTCGAAAAAGTCGGCTTATAAGCCTGATAATCCGAAAAACAAGGTCACCAAATGGGCTCTGAAATTGCAAAATTGACCATGACATTGTCGTGACAATATCAATGCTAAAATTATCATAAATTTTAAACATTAATATTATACCAAAGTCAATTAGCATAATATTTTGGTGGTAACTTCCGACAATGTTGAAATACATACGCTATTTATAACCGAAGTAGAGGGCTAGTTGATAATTACGTATTTACGCTTCTATCTCACG